GAATTTGTCTGAATTTCTCCCCCTGACTGAGGTTGCTCAGACATTTTCTCTGCTCTTGGAGAGAGGGATCGGTGAGAGTGCAGTGGGGAGAGATACTGCTAAAATACCCAGCCGGGCTTTGGAGCTGAGATTCGCTTAATTTTTATGAAAACTGGCAAAAAGAGGAGTTTTTTGGGGAGCATTTGCTCACAGTCACTTGTGTGATCAGGGAGGTGAGGTTCAAGAGTGAGAGCAGTGTATGGCATCGTGTTAGCTGGGCATGTGTTCGTGGTGTGTCTCCGGCCCCCTGGGACGGGGGAGGATGTCAGGAACGACTGTGTTTGGATTTATGGGGTTATTTCTTTTAAGGATTTCTGTGGTCTGATGGTTTAATAAGCTTTTTAAGTTTTTGCAGCTGGGGACATGCAAACAATGCAGATCCTCTCATCCCCGTCAGAGAGCAAAGTCTCTTGTGGATGCTCCAGATCCAGCTGGAGCCCAAAAGTCCCTGCACAAGATTGCTGGGGATGTCTTACCGGCACAGCTGAGTTCCGGCTGTCCTCACAGAAGCCAATTTAGAACTATCTGGCCCTAAAAACTGATTGACCTTGGTAGAGGTCGTCAGCCTGAGGTGTGGTGTGGGTCCCACCTTCTAGGGACGCCAGGCTTTGCTCCGATGGGCAACACTGGACACGCTGAGAGGCCAGCCCTTGCTCACCTCCAGAGAGCCAAAGGCTTTTCTGCCTTCCCCGAAATAAATTGGGGGGAGCAGCAGGGACCTGACCTGCTCAATGCACCAATGCCAGGCAAAAGGAGCCGCCTTCCCTGAATGTCCTGTGGGGTGTTTGCTGTATCACCAAAAATCTCCAAACCAGCATGAAATCTGTGGCTCTGGCTGCATCTGGCTGATGTGGCTTTTGGGAGAAAAAAACCCCTGTTCTAGGGATTTTTCCTTGTAAATCCAGGGATCTGGCAGGCCCTGGGGGAGATGATTCCTTCTGGGATTTTGTGATATTTCCCCCAGGCAGTGGGGGCACAAGGAAGGGACAGGGACAAGCAGACGGAGCCAGGAGGTGCAGTGAGATTTGCTTGGCACAGGCTCCACACGCACCTGGGAGCAGCTGTTTGAGACCAGAATTGTTCCTTTTTCTTTCCCCCAGCAGGAGCCTTTGGGGTTTAGAACAGTTTCAAAATTTAGGGGGACGCAAAGACATCAAGGCAAAAAATCCCAGCTTTGCCATTTCAGTTCTAAGGAAAAGAACTAAACCCACCACTGGGAAACGCTTCTTCTTTCTGAAGTATGGCAACAGTTTGTTACTCCTGGTTGGAAAGAGAAGAAAAATAAATTCATTGGCATTTTCTGACACATTTTTCTGCTACTCAGGCTTACACAGTGCCCCGGCTTCTTGGCAAGAGAGGGAAGTGTAAGAGGCAGTGCTGGGGAAGCTAGCGAGGCAGTGCAAAGCAGCTGCCAGGGCATAGGATTACCAAGCAAATTTAAAATATGAAACCTTGAGCATTTCACCAGGGATGTGGCTGCTGAAGGAATCTGCTCTGCCACTTGGCTGTGACTTGTTGCCCCTTGCCCCGTCACTCCCAAGATAGGTTTTGGCTCCACCATCCTCCTGGTTGCCCACGGGGAGCTGTGGGATGCGACTTGCCAAGCCGATGCAGTGCGGGGGGCCCCGAGGCACCCCGTTTCTCCTGAGCTTTGCAGCCACGCTCGCCTATGGCCCCTCGCCCCAGGCTGGGGTGGGTGATGCAGCCGGCGGGGGAGCAGCTTGGTGCTTGGGAAAACCCCCGAGGAGCAGGAGACCAAGTCCTGCAGGGCCGGCTGGAGGCAGGTTGGAACTTGCCTGAAATAAATTTTCCTCGGAGCTGAGCAGTTCCTCTTGGTGTTTCACAGCGGGATGGCGAGGCTGCAGAGTCGCTTCCCTCTGCTGACAGCACGGGGCAGCACCGGACCTCAGGAGCATCCTGCCATTGCTTGCTGGGTTTGGGTGGATTTGGGATTTGCTTCTCTGTTTCAGCTTCTTTCCCATTTTGTTTTACAGGTGAACAGCACGCCACCACAATGCCAGAGCCGTAAGTAGTACGAGTTTCTCTCATATTTCACTAAATCCTCGCCTGGCTGCTTGTGCCGGCTGAGCTTGTCCTTTTTTGGAGGGGTTCGGCTGGGAGATCAACCTGTGATCAAGACCTCTGTGCCATAGCCCTTGCAAAAATTATCTTTAAATAAAAATTGTTAGTGATTTCAATGTCCTGCTTCAAACCGTGGAGCTTTCCTAAATCACAGAATAGGGATCCAAGGTGGGCAGCACCACTCACTTTGCCATGAGGCGCTTCGTAGCACATCGTACAAATACAACATGTTCCCCGGTGTGAGCAGAAGGGAGAAACCTCTGTGCAAGGCTTTCATCAAGCAAGGACATGGAGATGCCCCAGCCCTGCAAACCTGCACAGGATCCAAGCATCCTGCGTGCCAGCCCCCAGCTGCGCGGGGAGTGCATGCATGGGGGTGTGGTGGCCCCAACCACAGGAACCGAGCTGGGGCTGTCACAATGGGGACTGTGGAAGCTCGCGTGCCACATTTGAGTGGCATTTTGGCTTTCTAGGCAGTGGCCCTGAGCACCCACTGCGTTTCCAGAGAGCACCGTTGTCTCAGACCTGGCTCACTTGCAGGTGGCAACTATTAGATACAGAAATAAGGAAACCAACTGCAATCACATGAGATGCGTTTCTTGACTCTCACCTCTTTTTAACTCTTACTCGCTGATGCCCTGTTCTCTTCTCTTGTTCCTTATTGCTCCTTCCTGAACGCACGCCTGCTGCAGGGAGGTAAGTGCCTTTTCTTTCAGGGCCCATCTCAATGCTACTCTGCATTTGCTGTGAGATTGTTCTCAAAGGTTTGTTTTTTTTTTCTCCTCCCCTTTCCCCTAGAGAAAATCCAAGATCACAGCCTCACGCAAACTCTTGTTAAAGGTGAGTCCTGAGGGTTGGAAACCCCCTGGGGTTTGTCTTGCTGGGGAAAAGGAGCCAGGGTTGAAGTGCGTGGTCGGTGGGACAGTGATGAGGAACGGGAGGAGTATGGGCCTTGGGGAGCATCTCCCGTTCCCACCTCTTGTCTTCTCAAAAATCCTCCCTCATGTGGGCTTTGTGGTCCATGCACCAAACAAACCTGCCCTCACCTCCACTCTACTAAGGTGGGGAGAGACTCTGATGCCTTCAGCGCTAAAGCCACAGCCCTTGTGTTTGTGCACCAGCAGCTCTGCAGCACAAGCTTGGGAGCTCCCCGGGCTGTGGCTGGGGAAAATCATTGACTGCCACAGCAGAGCAAAGCCATGCAAAGAAAATGCCAACGTCAGCATCCATCGGGGCCACCGCCACCGCAGCCCCGCGCTGCCTCTGGCCGTGCTGTTCCCCCTGCCTTCAGGGTCACCACTCAAAAGGCGTAGGGATTTTTTGATGTGTGTTGCAGCAGCACAGTGATTTTGGGAGGACAACTGCAGCAGGGAGGAGGTTTGGGAGGGAGACAGGGCTGTCCCATCCTACAGATATTGCGCAAGGAGGCTCAGGGGAAACAGAGGAGCCTGTCTGGAGCTTCTGCCATTTGCTTGTGCTTGTAGAGTTTGATGCTGGCAAAAGCAAAGGAGGAGTGGGATCAGGAGATCGTGGACAAGCAGGCAGAGAAGGAAAGATACCTGTCTGAGCGGATCACACCATTGCGCACCAGTGGGCTTTCCTTGAGCCAGCTCCAGGTATTTCTCAGGTCCGAGGGTGGAGCGAGCTCCTTGGGAGCATGGAGTGGTATCGCTCACTGCTCTCCTGCTGTGCTTGGCCCCCAGGACTTGTGCAGGGAGCTGCACGAGAAGGTTGAAATTGTGGATGAAGAGAGATATGACATCGAAGCGAAATGCAACCATAACACTCGGGAGGTAGGAGGCAGGATGGGTTGTTTTCTTCAACATTGACTCCATTCCTGATGGTAACTTGGGTCTCGATGGAGGTCTGTCATGCACTGGGCTGAGCCTGGATGTGGGACATGTACCAGGATTATCTAAGGGTTGGTATTTGCTCTGTAAGGTGTCTCTCAGCACAAGGTTCATCTCTGCCTTAGGGAACTCAAACTGTCCACTGGGTCCACAGGTAACCTCCTCGCTCTCCTGGTCACCCTTTGTGGGTCTGAGAGCTCCTTCTCATGGTATGGCTGCCATCTGAGCAGGCTGGGACAAGGCAATGACAACAGCTCTGTGCTCAGGTGGACAGTACCTTGGAGAAGATGGTCCTCACGGCTGCAGGAGAGGCACAGACCCCTCTGCGTCTTGGTGTCGGCAGAGACTCCTGCTTCACACAGGAGCCTTTTGTACAAGGCAGCCATGCGATGACCTCCCACTCCTCCTCCTTTCCTCAACCTGCAGATCAAAGATCTGAAAATCAAAGTGCTTGATCTCCGAGGAAAGTTCAAGCGACCCCCCCTGCGGCGAGTCCGTGTCTCCGCCGATGCCATGCTGAGGGCTCTGCTGGGCTCCAAGCACAAGGTGTCCATGGATCTGAGAGCCAACCTGAAGTCTGTCAAGAAGGAGGATACAGAGAAGGTGGGTGACTCTTCTATAGGACAGAGATGGAGACACCCCCTAGGGATGCCTTAGCCCTTCTCCAAGGTCCCCTGTGAAACCTGCGTGGGTTGGGCTCATCCCCTGTAAGCCTCAGAAATAGCACGGGGCAGTCCTTGTGAGCCACTGCCCGTTGCAGGATGTTGTAGGACCACGTGGCAGCAGTTTGACAGCCAGGTAACCGGTGGATGATAACAAGTGAGACTTCGGGCTCCATCCACGATGCTCTTCCCTCACAGAGCATGTGGGGGTCTTTCAGCTGGGGCCCCCTTGGCGTGTCTATTGAGCTGTACTCACAGAGCGTTTGGTCTCTGGTCTTCTAGGGACCCAGAAGAGCTCCTATTTGGTGTGGTCATGCCCAGGAAACACCCAGGAAACTCCCAGACCCAGATTAGATATGACAGGGCAAGCCCAGCAAGCACGCTTGGCCTGAGAAAAACAGCCCAGTTCACACTGGCTGTGCAGAGATGTGGGAAGGGAAAGTCTCAATACCAGAGACACAGAGTGATGCCCAAATGTTCCTGGGGGTGCAGGCACCCCAATGGCAAGAGTTGTGCTGCTTTCCTAGGGCCTCTGCCCAAAGGGGTTTTACCCTTTGGTCCCAGCTCAGCAGATTTTCAATTAATTTTCCCTTTTTCCCTCCCCGTTGCTAGTATAGCACATTTTCAATCCTTTGAACAGAAAACTGTGTTTACAGTCCTCAACACCAGGTGGTGAATAGATCTGAGTTTATTTTAGATGTCGTGAGATGATTTTGGGGCATAGTTGTAATCTATGAATGCTTGTGGGTTGGCAGAGCAGACACCTGGGCATGTTCCCAGATCTGCTGTCATCTCCCCTTTCTATTCTGGAAGAAGCTGCCAGGCTCTCACTGTCACACCAGCAATCCCAGTCCCCTCCAAAAGCTCAGAGAAGGTGGAGATAAGTTTTATGTGGGCTGCGAGGTCTATGCAGAAAGTGGTTTTTCTTGCATTTGCCCTGATGTGCTGGTATAAATCCGGAGTAAGTCCCATGTGCTGGTTTCTTCTTCCTAAAGAAATTTTCTGGGATTTTTGTGCCTTCTAGTGCATTAATGCAACTTAGCCAGGCTTTGGTGGGCTATCCACATGAATCCAGACCTCCCTGTGGAGATCAGACCAGTCAGTCCATGTGCAGGGACTCTCCTGGCTCCAAGGGCGAGGGGAGCTGGAGAGGGCAGCTGCCTTCCCTGCTGGTGCTTGCGCGCCGGGGCCGAGGGCTCTGTGCAATGGGGTCTGCAGTGTGGGGCTGCTGGCCGCCCTGTCACACGGCCATTGCAACCCCCATCCCTATCCATCCCGGCAGGAGCGCCCCGTGGAAGTGGGCGACTGGCGCAAGAACGTGGAGGCCATGTCAGGGATGGAGGGGCGAAAGAAGATGTTCGATGCTGCCAAGTCCCCCACGGGCCAGTGAGAGGTAGGGGACTGGTCCTTCTTCCCCTGCAATGCCCTGTGCTCCCTACAGCATCCCTGCTCTCTGCTTGTGGCCAGGCAAACGCAGAAACTGCACCCACTCGTTACAGAAAAAGGTATCACATGCCCCGTCTCCCACCCAACACTCGGGACTGGTCCCTGTCCCGCACATCCCTGCCATGGAGCCCCTGCCAGCAGCTGTCTTCATCTCCCAGCTTGCCCTCCCTGACTCTCCAGGGTCTGCTGCCCACACCACACTCACCCTGCACAGCATGGGCATCGCTGGCACCAGCTTTGAGCTGCTTAAAAAGCCCAAAAACTCCTCTTCTGCCCCACTGATCTGCTTTGTTTCTTTCCCACAGGAGCATTGGGAAGAAGAGACTCCCCATCCCTGCTGCCTGCCTCCCTTTCCCTTGCTGCCCCTCTGTGCTCTTTACACCCTTACCCTGAATTCACCACTGAGCTGAAGCACGTGGATAACTGTGTGGGAAGGAGATCTGAGCTTCTTTCTTTCAGCACTGCCATCAGCCCCGCTCCTGCACAGCCCCAGCACTGCAGCTCCCTGGTATCACCTGCTCAGGCCGTGCTGTCTCCAAGGAGCCACTGTCCATCCCTCCCCTCCCACCACTGCACAGAGGACCCAGAGATGGCTGCTGGTCCTCCCACTCCCCCATCCTCCAGCGGGTGCAGCCTGAGATGTACCCGTGCGGCTGCACGTGTATTAAAGGACGATGTCCCAGGCAGAGCACTGCGTGGGCTTGTCACTGTGGGAGCATTGGCCAGGGGCAGGTGCTGGTCCACAGCCCAGTGGGGAAGACACCATGATCCTTTCCTGCCGCCCTGCAACGTTCCCGTGCCAGCACTCAGGCCAGAAGCATGCCTTGGGATCAGACTTGCTTTGGGCTTATCTCTTCCAGCCCCTAGGCTGTTCCCTGGTGTCCCGCCAGCTCTGCTGAGACCACCCCTGCTCCACGCTCGGGCCACCCCTCTCCCCTCCCATGCACTGCAGCCCTTGCTGGGCTCCAACAGCGCAGCAGCCTCCCAAGCAGCAAGGCTTGGGTCTCTGGAGATGGCTGTCTGGTGGTTCCCCCACCCCTCCTTCTGCCCTGGTTTTGGAAAAACCTTCAGAGCTTGCTCACCCAGACACCAACTCTCCCCCTGGCTGCCCCATCACAGGCACTGGAGCTGTGGGAATTGGGGCAGCCCCATTTGCAGGCTTAATTCAAGCAATGTTTCAGGACAGCATGGGATGAATCCATCTTTCAGGCCAAACAGATCGTGCTTCCCCACCAGTCCTACCATGTTCTATGTCACAGCCCCACAGCCCGCAGCTGGTTCAGTGCAAGCAGCTGGGAATGTGCCAGCTCCACCCCAGAGCAGGGCTGGAGGGGAGAACTGAGGAGAATTCGAACGAAATTGGGTCTTCTGCCTGGTTGCCCCGCAGGAGATGCTGAGGCTCGGCCCCCACAGGGTGCTCGTGGTGATTGTAGCAGTGCCTTGTCTGTGTCCCCAGGGTATTCAGAGGAATTGCAGAATCCACGATTTCAAACCTGTGCCACTCCGTGGGTGTTTTGCAGCACCCCTGTCCCTGTGAGCTTGTAAAGAACAGAAAATGCTATAAACTCGGAGCAAAGTGCAGGTCCCCAGATAGGCCCCAGGGCTGGAAGGAACAGCACCAAAAGGTGTGTGGTCTCCAACAGAGCTCATTCTCCCCAGAAAAACATCACATTTCTTTAAGGATAGAAAAGGTGGCCCCATGCAGTTGGTTCTTGCAGGACTTTCTCCAGCAGACTTGGATAGCTCGGTGGCCAGCAGTGCAAGCGAGCGAGAGCCATCGCAGGGAGGTGGGGTTGGGTTTGGGCTTCAAACTGGCAGGACAACTGGATTCCTTCGGGTTTCACATGCCCCCCCCTCTGGCCAATTCAAGGACACTGAGCTGAACCACTTACTTTTGTCCCTGGGCAAAGAGGGTTAGGGCAGATGGTGACTGGTGGGAACACTTATTTCTAGCGTGGCCATTAGCAGTTGGGCTGCCACAACGCACAGCAGCTCTTTAACAGAGAATTCAAGACTCAATATGAAAACTTTTTGCAAAATTAGGGTTAGATGAGCGGTGGCTGTCAGCTGGAAAATACACACTTGCTCCCTTAGCTAGCACAGATGCTCAGTCTTTGTCTTTCCACCTGACCCTCCATCCCCACCAGCATCCCACTGACTGGGGCCAGGACCACCCCCTGCATGACCGGAGAAGTTGCACGGCACACAGAGCCTTTTCCACCCATTTTTTTCCTTTCCGAGCTTAATTTGGCACAGCAGCCGCAGCCTAGCATGGCGCCAGGACTCGCTGGCCACTTGTCCTCACCCTGCGCACCTCGGGACGGGCTCCCAGCAGGCGCAGCCCTGGGAAGCGAGTCTCCGTCTTGGCCAATCCAAGTGACTGCTCTTGGAGGTGATCGGAGATCATGCGTGGCAAGATCCCAGGATCCTGCCACGGCCCAGCAACCTGCCCCACCACTGGAGGTGAGAGGTTTTGGCTACAATCTCGCCCCTTTGAGCTTCCAGCCCAAGCGGGAGCTGGGCTGAGGCAGTGTCCTGGGATCTCGCTGCGCACGCTATCCCCGGAGGGAACTCACACACTCGGCAGTGATCCTGGCAGAGGAAGAAAGGTGTGTAGGGAGAGGTAATAACTGTTACCTGACCAACTGGTATAGCTGGAAAATGCAAGAGAGGTTTCACGGAAACAAAACCTTCTTCAGACTTGGAACAGAAGCAGAAAATGACAAGCTACGTCTGGGTCAAGAACAGTTGCTCAGAGCTTAATGCAATTATGATAATTTGGTAATTAAAAAAAAAAAGGGGGTGGTGTTTGTGGGGTGGAGAGGGGTGGCAGTGAGATGAAAGGCAATATGGGTGCTGGGTGCTGTGGGACCAGGTTCTGGTCGATGCTCGGCAGCCAGCGTGCGCCTGCACCCAGCTTGTTGTCACATCCTGTGCACCCAGACACCCGAAACTGCTGCAGAGCAAAACCCGAGGGCTCACCAGCACGTCTCTGCAGCCACAGTAAGAGCCAGCCGGGGTGGGCTCAGCAAGGTCCCAGAGCCCACATGCAGCTTACCATTGTAGGCTACCGGTGACTTTGCATGTCTGCCTTGTGTTTTAGACTGGGGGGGGCGGGGAGAGAAAAACCCAACCCCAGAGCTCTTCGATCTGCAAGTTCCCCTACTTTTACAAAGTATGACACTCCCCAGTCACCATGTCCTGCTTTCATCCTTCTCTGATGGAAAACCACATTTGTTGGTCACAGGAAAACAAAGTTTTATGGATTTCAGCTTTATTAGAAACATGGAAAACCCCCATCTCTTTACAGGGATTGAATCTAGAGGGGAAAATGCAGCTGATCGCCCTGAGAACGAGGCTCTTCTGGTTGGATTGGGGGTCTGGGAGCCAAGCCTTCTCCTCCACCTCTGCTCTGGAGCTGCTTCTGTGGCTCTGGGCCAGCTGGGAGCCCGGCTCTCCCCTTGGTAAAAGAGGCAGGTTGAGCCTTTCATCCCACGATGCGCCTGGCTTCCCTTTCACCAGGCCAGCTCTGCAGTGCTGCTGTTGCTTCCCTCCTAGGTGACAATGACCTCAATTTCTTCTCTTTGAATTAGAAGGAAACCCTATGGTAATCCCTTTTTACTGAAAATTCAGCCCAAATGGGGGACTTGCAAGGCTCTTCTCAGAGGGAGAAGCTGACGCTGAAGCAGTTGTTCATGAAATCATGTCTATTTCCAGAAGAACTGCACGAGTCAGTCCTGTCTCTTTGAACTGAGCAAAGCCCTGTCCCTGCCATCCTCCAGGTTGATCCATTGCAGCCCAGAGTCCCCAAAGCAAAGCAAAACAAAGCTGAAGAAATTGCAAATAGAAAAAAAATATTCATCAACCCACTGATTTTCTACTGGAAAGGTTTTGCTGGCAAAACCAATAAGAGAGATGGCTTGACGTGGCCTTTCAAAAATATCCCTCCTAGTTGGTTGTAAAATGGTCCCTTCCTTTCCTAGGATGCTCTGCGACCTCCTTGCTAATCTAGTCGTGCCTAGAGACATCTGAACTGTGCCCAGACATTTCCCTGGGTGTATTTGCAGCTCAGCTGGTGGCTGCACCTGCAAAGGGAGGAAGAGGAGGAGGATTGGTGGTGATGGGCAATGCTGGGGTGGGAAGGGGTAAAGTTTATCCCACGGCCTCTGAAGACCACTGCAGCACCCTGCCCCGCACAGGGGTTAATGCCAGGCTGCAGTCCCTGGAGGTAAAGGTTAAACATTACCCCCCTGCGGCCCCCTGTGGCCTCCGCGGTGCTGCCGGTGCAGGATCGAACCCCGTGGCTGCAGCTGCGCAGGAGGCGACCTGGGGACAACTGCGCCACATCGGCAGGGTTACAGCATAACCACCCATCACCCCGTGGGTCATCACTGCAGGTCCTGTGTGTCCCCTGCAGCATAAAATGGGAAGAAATGGGTTTCCTCATCACCATTTTCCCCTCCTGCAGCCCTCTGGGTCCTGTAGCCCTGGGGAGCAACGGGGCTGGGTTGGGGTGTGGTGCTCGGTGTGAGTGGGGTACGTCCGTCTTGTCCATCTTCCTTTGCCTGAGCCCTCTCACTCACTGCCCTCATCAGGGGGCATTTCTCATTAATTGCAACTAATTTCATGTGTTAGGAGGGATGTAGTCTGCCCTACAGGTGCTGGCAATGAGTCACACTTATTCTATCCACGACATAAAAAGTTTCCACTGACACCACTTTTGGGGGATGTCCATGGTTCTTCATTGTTAGACCTGGAGCATCATAGGGGATGGCATTTAATGAGGAGACCCATCTGCAGAGAAGAATGGGACCCTGAAGGACACTACAGCATCCGTGGGGCACCACAGTGGCATTTCTGAACCAAGATTTGTCTAAACTATTTCTCTTCTTTAAAAAAGTTAAATTATAATGAAAAAAACCTCCCTCTGCTAGCTAGGTGCAAGGCAGCTTGGACAATGGTTATTCCTTTCCTGCAGAAACCAGAAAAGTCTGTGGTCAGGTTTTGTTCAGTTTCTTAGCAAGCACGTGCCAATCTCAGCCACTTTCTGGCTTTCTTTGCACAGCAGAGGTATCTCTGTACTCTCAGTTTCTGGTGCCTTGCACACACCTTTCCAAAAGCTGAAAGAACTGTAGCTGGGAAAGGACAGCCCTGGACCATCCCAGCACCTGCAGAGCACCAGCACAGGGATGGAGGCAGAGCTCCATGTGCTGCGGGGAGCAGAGATCTTTAAAGCATTTTCTGGTGGGACCTTTGTGAGCTGTTGCACCACTGCAGCGGTGGGATGGCAGCTGAGCAAGGGTGAAAAACCCCTTTTCCTGGCTGTTGATCTTCATGCTCCAGCGCAGCGGGGAAGCCTGAGCAGATGGTGCTGCTGACTGCTCCACCGCCTGCAGCGTGGCAGGGATGAGCCTGGGGAGCCGAGGGAGGAGCTGAGCCAGGGCCGATGCTGGGGGACCAGCACGGGCCAAAAGGGTGG